TAAATAGTGCTCATATAGCACCACTGCTGTCCTTTTATTGTTCTGGAAACTAAGGCCCTGCTCAGTGAATTACAGTTGTTTCTCTGTGCCATCTTCAAAGTAGTCACACTTCTTAAAGAAGCAATTTCAAATCATAGTAAGGAAACACACAAAAATATTAAGGTTTTTTTCTGTATTTATGAGAATTTCTATTGCTAATGCATTGTTATCTCTGTGTTTAGGGTGTCTTTATATTAATATCGTCTACAAAGACCCAACTCTCTCTTAAATTACTAGACCAGCAATCTTAAAGGTAACTACAACTCATAAAACACAATACTCCATATTAACTTATTAATTCCACCCTGCCAATCTGCTTAGCTGTTTTGCCACCTCAAACTACAACTGTCACAAATTAAGCATAATGTAGAAAATTGCTAAGGCTGTTTCTCAAGGGTTAGCAGTTAACATTATCTGTTTCATATCATATATACATACCTGCTGAATTCTCCCTGGGCAGCTGCAGTAGCTAGGTTTAGCCAATGAATATGACTCAGGACTGATTCTATTATCAAAAGTATTAGAATCTCAACAACCTCTAAGCTATCAACAATTTAAAGATCATGCGATTGAAGCACACATTCGCATAGCTGTTTAAAAATTAAGAAGGGTTAGATAAAGAAATAATGATGTCAGTATCACGGGGTCTTCCACAGTTGATGCTGACTTATTATCAAGTTCATATTACATCCATTTGCTTAAGTAACTGAACTCTTTTGTTTTCCATGTTGTAGGTACGGTCTGACATCACATAGGATAATGACTTAGAAAAGTATAAGCACATGAAATCACATTTTAAGCAGCAGTAGGATACAATGTGAGAGTTGGCTCAGCCCTTAAAGGCTTGGCTCAAAACCAAAAATATAAGAAAGCAATCAGAAATATTTTCTTGTATGTAATTTTTATGAGTTATAGCTGTAAAACCAAAGTAGTCACTTAACTGGAGTGGTAGACTATTTGAGAAAAGAAAAAAGTCTCATTGACATGGGTTTAGGGTTAGGAATTAATATTTTATTTTGGAGCCGAGTCTAAGAGTAAGTTAACTTTTAAAATTTGAAATTAAATAGAAAATTATCACAAATGATATTTCAAACATGTTCAAGTATCAAATCTCTTCAAATATGTTGCTGCTCAGTGAAACTGGAACTGTCTCAGTATAGAAAACGAAGGGACAAAGACAGAGGGCTTTGGAGTCATGGTGACAGTGACAAATGCAGAGGGCGGATCTGAACGGACACACTACTAGCAGGGTTCAGTTTTTCCTGTCTGACGTCCATTGTGGGCTAAAGCAAACAGTAGTGGTAATTCACCTAAAGATAAACAGGAAACCTTTACTTATTATTATTATTATTATTTGCCACTCGATATGTTAAAAAGCCTCCTTGGTTTAAAAAAAAAATGCAATTATGAACACAGCTGAATGGCCCCAGAGCACACTGTTTCCATTAAATTTGCTTGTGTCTAATTATACCTGCCCAAGGCAGGTGAGAAATGCATAATGATAAGATCTTTTTTTAAAAAAAAAATTGGCACTAAAAAAAGAAATGAAATAAAATCACTGATTTCTAATCAAATTGCTATCTAAACCTATTGTTGTATTTGCTCTTTAAGACCCTTCTAAAACTAGGCTTTGTGAAACATCATTATAATTATGTTTTAAAGTGTTTGGTGGAAATATTTCCTTCTAGAAAACCTAGTCTAAGTCATCAGTGTAAGCCATCACCGTGTCAATCACAAATGCCTTTCTTATATCTTTCAAGTTTAACATTCAAAAGCTAGTTTAAAATGTTATTATTTAGAAGCAGCAAGGCTGCTAAATGTTTCCTAGGCCATGGAACTGCTATATCTTATCTGAAACATCCTCAGCAAGGCAAGAACAGGAGGCTGGCAAGTACAGAAGTGAGGTACAAAGCCCCATGATTCAGTCACAGTTTAGATAATGACTTCTTATGAATCTATCAAAAAAAGCTCATCTACAATAAATAAATAAACAAACAGGATAAAGAGAAAAAATCTAGAAGATTACTTATGTACCTATCTTCGAAAGCCTTTGTAGGAAACATCAATGGGCAGGACAAGACCACAATCAAAAGGAAAATCTGAGATGCTACAAGGAATGACACGCAGAACTATCACTAAGCTTTTAGGGCACCTATATATTACCTACATAAAATAGGTAGCAAAAATCAAAATAATAGCAGGCCACTAGTGAGATGAAGAACAAAACAGTGTGGTATGTACCTTTAATCCCAGGCCCAGGAAGGATGACTATGAACCCTGTCAGTCTGAACCAGTTATTAAGACCTGGATAAAAAAAAGTAAGCTAGCTGGTAAGCAAACAAACACACAAGCTTGTGACACTCCACTCACCTACATAAAACAGACATAAAAACACAAGTAAAATATAAACAATTTAAAAATATACATATAAATCATGAGGCAGATGAGTCAAAATATTTCAAGGCTTGTGCTAGGTAAAATATAGTTACAATGATGATAAATGTTGTGTTCTCCATAGTACCATGAAAATGGATTTCAAATGAAAGAAAAATTAGCCATACTGAGGAAAGGGATTCTCACCAGCAAAGCTATATTTGAAGAATATTAAAGTGAGTTATTGAGGCAGTAGGAAGCTTTCACTGAGCTAAACGAGTACATTAGAGGAGAATACAGTGTAGTGAGAGGGAGAATATAGGCAATATACATAAATGTTATAGAAACAAAATAATACACTGCAGGGATAGACATGCGTCTAGATTAAGATGCAAGGTAACTATAAAGTACAGGTACAGTAACCACTAGACAAGAATAAAAGTAATATTTAAGTAGTTAACTAATAAATGTAATAATGGAAGCACATTTAGTGAAAAAAGTTAAGGAAAAAAGGAAAAAACGTATCAAATACCTTTTATAATTCAGATAAATAATAAGTTGACTATATAAATCCGTATCCAGTTGAAAGCAAGAAAGAAAAGCTCAACTACAGAATCCTCCCAAGATGAGTGTGAGCAGAAGAGAGCTGAGGACAAAGTAAGCATGAAAACCCTAACAGAAGGCCGTTTAGTCATCGGAGTCAGGAACCTACCCTGTGAGGTTGAAGTACATGAAAACAAAGGGTTTTCTACAGGGAAAGTCTCTGACAACATAAATCCATGAGCAATTAGTAGTAGGTTGGTCTTTTGTCTTGCTCATTTTACACAGGAGTTCACTTTGTAGCCCTGGCTATGCTGTAACTTACTATAGACAAGCTTATCCCTATAATCAACATTTAGAAAGTATTTTAAAAAGACAAGTTTTGAGGAAAACTCACTTTATCTAAAAGAAATAAATACTATTGTAGAATGTGGTAATTTACACAATGGAGTACTGCACAGTGGTAAAAAATAATGGCATCTTGAAATTTGCAGACAAGTGGATAGATATGGAAAAACCATACTGAGTGAGGTAACCCAGACCCAGAAAGACAAATATAGTATGTCTTCACTCGTAAGTGTGATATCTTCCAGCATGGTATAGGATGAGTACAGCACGTATCATCTTAGAAAATCCAGGAGCGAATAAGAATCCAGGAAAGCAACAGAGCACATTCTGCACAGCTTCACACAGAAGGCCAGCAGTAAATATGGCTTCAGCGCAGGCTTTAAGAGCTGCCCAGAAGACTGTTCATAAAAGAGAACATCTTGTCAATCATTCTCATCTTAGCAGCAAAAGAGAGCAGCTGCACACTGAGCACACAAGGCCTTCCACTGGAATACACCACAGCTTTAGCAGACAGAGCAGAGCAGTGCTGATCAAGAAGTGCTAAGTGCCGCACACACATCACCCTTCCTTAAGTGATGGAGGTGGGTCTTGTATCTTATCTGTTGCTTTCATTGGTTAACTAATAAAGAAAACTGCTTGGCCCGATAGGACAGAAAATTAGATAGGCAGAGTAAACAGAACAGAATGCTGGGAGAAAGAAGCTAAGTCAGGCAGTCGCCATGATTCTCCCACTCCAGACAGACACAGGTTAAATCTTTCCTGGTAAGCCAGCTCGTGGGGCTACCCACAGTATTAGAAATGGGTTAATCTAGTTGTGAAAGCTAGCCAGTAAGAGGCTAGAGCTAATGGGCCAAGCAGCATTTAAAAGAATACAGTTTCCGTGTAATTATTTTGGTATAAAGCTAGCCGTGCAGGCGGCCGGGTGCCGGGGACGCAGCCCCGCTGCTCATATTACTACACTTAAGTATTTTCTGTAAATATGAATTTATTCATGAAATCATCTCAGAGATGGGTGGGGTGGACACCCTGCACCTTCATTGCATTCTCTCTAATGGGTTCATGGATTTAATGCATTAGCCTCAAAGATGTTTCAAAAATGAATACAATGATATAAACTAAAAACAACAAACTCACTGTGTTTACACCTATCAAATAAAACTCCCAGATGTGCTTTTTCTTTTATGATCCTTCACCAAAAAATAATTTCCTTTCAAAAATAACACAAAGTTATTCTGTTTTTGTATTATTCACAATGATAAAACACAAGGTAAATATTTGGTGCTAGTTATGTATCTTAAGAGGCTTCCAAAAAGAAAAACACCAAACAAACTGCCCCTAACTCCTATATTTTCTGTTTTACATTACCCTTAATTCCAAATTACATAGACACTTAGAAAACCATAATATCAGTGTTTTATTGTTAAGTATATACTTCAAATAAGATAGATGTTTACTAGTACTGTCTTTGCATATATGTAAAGGGCAATTTTGAAATGTTCTCCCTCTCTCTCTCTCTCTCTCTCTCTCACACACACACACACACACACACACACACAAACACACACACAGTGCTTACTTAATGTTTGTGACTCCACATGCTTATAATTAAATCATTGACCCCTCTTCAGAGCATATGTAATATGTGGCCTTGGATTATTTATGCAGTAGTAGACAACAGCTTTGAAAACTTGGTTCCATACCCAAAGCTGCTACTTTGATGATGATGGCTTCAATGTTAGATGCTATCATCTCTCGGAGCAAATCTTCCTGGTTTCTCTGCCATAAGTAAGTCAAAGGCTGGAGATCAAGCCGTTTACATCTACAAAGTAAAAAGAAAAAAATTAACAAAAAATTAAAAAAAAATTAGGGGCCCCAGCAATTTGATTTTAAACATAATGGTTCTTTCAATGATTTTAACTTTCAAATGCTCTTTCTCCGCTTCCTACCCTTATTTTTTAAAATGCCTGTGAAGCCAGAGAGGGGACTCAAGGGATAAAGGCACTTGCTATCTGAGTTCATTTCTGGAAATCCCATGGTGGAAGGAGTTCTTTGAACTCCATGTCCTTTGCACCATGGGATGTAGATATCCACACAGTCACAAACACAATGAAAAAAAAAACACGGTAAAAATTTAAAAATGCTTTGTACATTTAATTTTTATGGATTATAAACAAACATAAAAAATCAATCTCCAGGAAGACTGGAAATAATCAACTTTAGCAAGGCTTTAAGCTTAGAAATAAGTGTTAAAAAGCATCCCATGACAATTAATAATTATTCTCATTTTCAATACTTCCATAAATTGGCAAACATGGAAAGGCATAGTTCAATGGGAAGGGTGTGATGATTTTATACATTACAAGTTTATCAGATTCTCCATACACTAAAAGTCAAGGGGGAAGAGGAGGTGAAAGATTCCTAACTGTTTCGAAACAGTTTGCCTAGGTTTCAGAATGACTGATTTGCTAATAGGGATGTATTACCTATACCTTAGGCCATCATTTCAAAGTATTATTTATTTATGTTCTTGATTTAGATGAAACTCTCTAAGATGACTTGGTTTATCCAGGGGATATGGTCACTGGAAAGCTGCTCCTGTTCCAGTGGATCAGCACACAGTGAAAGCATATGGACAGCACTATTCACTCTGTGCTACTGAAGAGAAGGCGCAGGGGCACTTGTGGGGTTCTATTCAGACCCAATGCTATTGAAGAGAAGGCGCAGGGGTACTTGTGGGGTTCTATTCAGACCCAGTGCTACTGAAGAGATGGTGCAGTGGCACTTGTGGGGTTCTATTCAGACCCAGTGCTACTAAAGAGATGGTGCAGGGGCACTTGTGGGGTTCTATTCAGACCCAGTGCTACTGAAGAGATGGCGCAGGGGTACTTGTGGGGTTCTATTCAGACCCAGTGCTACTAAAGAGATGGTGCAGGGGCACTTGTGGGGTTCTATTCAGACCCAGTGCTACTGAAGAGATGGCGCAGGGGCACTTGAGGGGTTCTATTCAGACTCTGTGCTACTGAAGAGATGGCGTGGGGCACTTGAGGGGTTCTATTCAGACTCTGTGCTACTGAAGAGATGGCGCAGGGGCACTTGTGGGGTTCTGAGCAGAGTTGTAGGTGGAAATACTGGGGTTATGGTAAAATTTAGTTGTATACACACATGAATTTCTCAAAAAAATTTTTTAAAAATAGAAAACATACGGCTTTTGTTAATTAGGTAAACATGTTTAGCTCTATAGAGCATCTGTAACAGATGTGCTTGTGATTTGGGTACAATTGTTTATTTTTTTATTCATTAACAATGCTTTTTATTTATTTTTATATTCTTTTTAAATTTCATCTATTTTATGTTCAGGCTGCAGTCTTCCATATCCTCTCTTCTTCTGTCTCCCTCTAGAAAAAGGCAGGTCTCCCATGAATATCAAGAAAACATGGCATATCAAGTTGCAGTAATACTAAGCACCTCCTCATGTATTAAGGCTGGGAAAAGTGACCCAATATGAGAAGTAGAGTCCCAAAAGACAGTAAGAGTCAGAAACAACCCCTGTTCCTGCTGTTAGGAGTTCCATAAGAGGACCAAATTACACAACTGTAACATATATGCAGAGGGCCTAGGACAGTCTCATGCAGGCTCCCAGGTTGTTCATTCAGTCTCTGTGAGCCCCTATGAGCCTAGGTTAGTTGATTCCGTGAGCCTTCTTGTAGTATCCTACAGCCCTCTGACTCCTCCACTCCTCCACAGGACCCCGGAACTCTGCTTAATATTTGCCTGTGGGTCTCTGCAACTGCCTCCATCGGTTGCTAGATGATGCCCCTCTCATGACAATTGGGCTAGGCATCAATCTGGTCACAGGATGTGGCCAATGCAGGCTACTTATCCACTATTATGTCTTCCCCATTGGAAGATCTTGGAATTATAACTCCTGCCTTTCACATTCTGAGCACACATTCAGATACTAAATTTAGTCCTCAATCCCCAATCCCGATTTTAAATTATTTATGATTTTAAAATATTAGAAAGATTGACGTTCTCTTACACATTTTCTACTCGCACATGTTGATAATCAGAAAGTATGGCACCTACAGATACCCCTTCTATTTCTTCTTTTTCCTGAAAATAAAAGAAAAACATATAAACTTAAAAAATAGGCATATGGTTTGTATCATGCTCTGAAAATTACACATGAACTGCATATTATCTAAGAAGCCACCTTCAAATCAAAGTAATTACCCGCAAATACACATTTAGGACAATTATCTGTACATGCATTGTAATCATCCTCCTAGTAGCAAAAAAGTAATTATTCCTTTACTTGAATTTTAACTCCAGACCTACTTTCATTAAGAAAAGACTTAGAAGCATTCCAAAATGTTTTCACGTTTATATTCTTAATGATACTGAAATTCTACCAAGGACAATATTTTCTCAGATTGAGTAATTTCTAAAATTTACACAATAGTACCATCAGATATGCTACACACTGGCTCTGATCTATATATCAGAAAAAGATGAACAGTACAGAGGCATGTAGAATGCAGAAATGATTGAAGCACTGCCTAGTACCACACAGTAATAAAGAATCCTAACATACAGGAAGGAATGGATTATCACCAACACAGTCACAAGTGACAGTACCAGCATGGTCCGGAGGGTTAAAGACTTTGTCCAACATACTCATGAGTTTACTGAAGGAGAATGTAAAGTCACTCATAATCATGTTTGCAGAGGGCCTTGAGGCCAGAGTGAATCAAAAGGTAGAGAAGATCAGTCAAGGATAAAGACTGATACAGAAAACTTAGGAATGTCAAAGAACGGTTCTAAAACGAGACTTAATGTAAAGTGAAATATAGTTAACCAAGGGAGGAACAACACACCCCATAGACATGAACCAGGGAAATGTTATCTATGACAGAGAAATGAAGGGAATGATAGAGGTAATTATTAATATGGTTCTGAGTAGAAATTCTCTGAATACTTGTAAGAGAAAATCCATTTTAGCATAGAGACTGATAGAAGAAATCACTTCAGAGAGATAACATCATTGGTAATACATTGGTTTACAATCATGGTAGCTCAACAACAGAAGTAAGAGTGTTTCACAGAAAACAAATCATGCTTCCAGGCACAAAAAAGAATCCTAACATGCTGAAATAACAGTTTGTCCTAAAAGGATACTATAGTAAATAAACAAAGAATTATGCAAGAGATTTTTTTCCTGCCATTGAAGAATTTAAAATATACCCACTCTAATGATAGAAAAATATCTTTCCAAACTGCCCCAAAATAAAATGATTATTTCTGTGAGATAACATTTCAGGAAAAGAGGTATTCCCTGTATTTACCCTATCAGCAACTTTGTGAAGCTCTTAACCTTTCTTTAACCTCCCTAAACATTTTCTTTCCCTAAAAATCATTATATTCTTCATTAATAGATCATATAGTAGGGAAGGTACCAAAAGATAAGCTTTTCAGTTCTCTTCCTGTTTTGTATCTCGGAAGTTCTAACCTAATAAATTACGAAGCACTGGATTATATGTGTGTATATAATAATTTATATTATATATGCATATTTAAATGCATGTGTAGTACACTGTTAATTATGGAAACAAAGACAAGGTATAGGCATAGGCAAGAGCTTTCTGTAAAGAACTTCAAAAGCAGAAGAAAACCCCCAAGAACCAGTAAATAAGACTGCATGAAATTAAAAGGCTCTGTACAGAAATGGGAACTACCAACAGTGAAGAGGCAGCGGATAGAAGGGAAGACAAACTCTGCCAGCTATTTTCCAGACAAGGAACTAATGCATAGAATAGATTAAGAAATACAAAAATCAAGTTCAGTTTTTGGCCATATCTGGAAGTCAACTGAGAGCCAATTTCTGGAGAATTTCTTTTTCCCACTCATAAAATAAGGCACAAAGTAAGCATATATTTAAAATGCAAATTCAGAGGGCTGGAGAGATGGCTCACCAGGTTAGAGTTAGAACTTCAATGTGAAAATTTTGTGGGGACACAATTAAGTCTAAAATTCTATCTAAAGAAGATGAGACTACAATTTGCACAAATATCTCAAATATCATATTATTATTTTCTTAATCATAGGAAAATCACTCAAAATTTACACGCAGATATACATTCATTTCTTTATTCTATGTCCTGGCATGTTGGGAGGCAAAATTACTCACAGGTTTACTAACACCAATTTTAAAATTCTAATGTGTCACACACACACAGACACACACAGAGAGATATGTATGTATATATACATATATTAGCACATTGGATGTGGATGTGAGATTTATTACTGAACATGATTTGGTAGGGTACAGAGTGCACTGGACTATTACAGGGGATATATTTGCCTCTATAACCATTAAGAATGAACTACTTCTTAGTAACTATGTTTTCAATTCATTTGGATTATACTTGGTGAAGCTCTACTACTTTGAGATGTGTATCTTCTGGCAGCCAGGGAACTTGAACTTGGCTCTATGCAGAGGCTCAAACACATATTCCTTATTCTGCGGCTTGGTGTAGCTGAACATGATGACCTGGCCAATGTGAATCCTTGGCATTGTTTCATGGGCCTTCCCAAAGAAAGGCACCACACATACCTGTCTGGAGTCCGTCAGCCCCAGCACAGGACAACTTGTTTATTTGGAAGACATGAAAAGGGTGGAGCCTCACTTGAAATGAAACTCTACCATGTATTTGTTGGCACAAATCAGGCAGCCTCCAGAGCTTAGGAAATGAATTGCACATATACATCTGACATCATGTTGCAACAAATTATGAATTCATCGATTATTGCCTTCTTCCATTCCAAGCCAGAGGCAGATCATAGCACCTGGTACATCTTGACAGAAGTGAAACTTTGGATATGGCTTGCTCGTACAACACCATTAACACTGGGCAGGGCACTTGCCCATAACGACAATAGGGTCATCAGTGTTCCATACTATATTAAGGAAGGAGAAACATTTAAAAATATCACAGCGGGTATTCTTGGGGAATTAAAATCTTGTGGTCACGAATATAGAGGAATACAAAGACTGTTGACATGTCTATGTAGCGCTTAATGGACTATAAACAAGAGCTACGTTGATGAAGAGTAACACCATGAACTACTCTAATTTTGGCTTCTTGAGGCAAGGGCTTATGAAGCTCAGGTTGTCCTAGCTCCTCTGATCCTCCACCTCCAGGGTGTTGGATCAGGCATGTACCATTAAATTTAACATAGGAACTATTTATTTTTAAATATAAAAATTATATTCGAAATAGAAGAATTCAGAATTGTCTACTGTTTCCCTGTATTCTCCTTAGCATAGCATCTATATATAAAACCCCAAAGGAAAAAATATGGCTGTAAAACTATAAATAACTTATGCACTAACATTTATGCTAACATAAATCCGAACAGGACTAATTGTCAGTCTCCACTTGGTATATACTTCTGAACCGTCCATATTAAGCAAGTAAAAGATTCTGTGAGGCCACTGGTGTTATTTTTAGCATAGAGACGGATAAACATGGATCTACTTATTAGAGTTTATGAACTAGTATTCAACAATTGTTAAGTACTCTTAAAAAGAGTACATCACGAATATCCACATTCAAGGCTGGATGTGTACTCTTCTGTGATACATAGCTAATGCTGTGTGTTCTTATTTATATACAAAGCTCTAGACAGGGATTACAATGATGAAGACAGGTGGTTATACATCAATAGGGATAATCTTAAACAGAATCTAGGTGGGTTTAAAGGTCCAAATACAGAACTAAGTTATGATTTTCTCATTAATATTCACTGGACTCAATGTTGAATATTTGGCTCTCGAAATCCCCTGAATTGGAACTAAGCTGTCTATTTTTGTCAATGAAAATGAACCCTAATTATTCTAAAGTTGAGAAGATATGTTGCATCTATCAGAGATACTATTTTCTTTGAAAAATGTCTCACTTATCAGTATTATTCTGCTAATGAGTTCTTGCCTGTTGAGAAAAAAATGATCTGCTGAATTTAAAGTGTTTTTTTATCTGAAAGGCATTCTAAAATTTTTAATATGACTCATTCATTAAAGACAAACTCTTGCATTATCTTCTAAGTGGCAATATTTGGACTTCTGGCAATATACCATTACTGAGCACGAAAGGAACCCTTATGAATATCAATGATGTTCTGCGGCCTAGATAAGTAAACCAGATATGAATATGGCTGGTTAAGTACCATATGTTTTTTTCTTTAAGCTTCTAATTCTTCATTTATTCTAGACAAATAAAGAGAAGCACAGAAACACACCATTTCAGTGAAATAATTTTGAATGCAACATTTAGAACTCCCAAATAAAGTTCACTAAAAATTTGTTAAGTTAAAAATATTATTTTTCTTAGCATAATCAATAGAAACATTCTAAAATGGAAAATGATCACCATCTGGCACTGTCCCATTAAACACTGAGCTCAAGACAGAATATTAGGTCATTAATTTGCAGTATTATCATCTTGTTTTATGAGATTTCTCAAAAAAATAAGGGAAAAAGTTGTTAAGGCAGAAAACTAAATGACAAAGAAATTGCAGTAGATAAAATAATTTTTCAGTGACTTCCATCTAAAAACAAACATTGCATTATTTTACTTCTGCTTTTCCACCTGATTTGTGATGGTGTGACATCACTTCAGCCCAAACTTTTATATTATCAGTCTGAAAAGAAAGAATTAAGTGTTTTTTTTTTTTAAGGCCCAAGGCATTTTTGTTGATAGAATAAGGCAGTTTATTGCTAACTTTTTTGAGGAACCTCCTCTGCTAACTTCCACAGTGGCTGCAGTAATTTACACTTCTTCTAACAGTGTATAAAGAGTCCTTTGTGTGTGTGTGTGTGTGTGTGTGTGTGTGTGTGTGTTGCGGAACAGTTTTATTTTCCTGGATGATAGTAATTCTGACAAGACACACATTGTGAACATTTCTCTGAAGATGAGAAAGTTCCCTGGAAGGAATGCTGGGAAGAGCTAATGAGAGAATGCTGTTAATGATAAGCACAATAGTTGCAAATAGTGTGCAGATAAATCCAAGGTGAGTTAATGAACACTAAAACGTGTGAAGCTTGGTTTATT